GCATATTTTGTAGCTACTGTTCTTACTACTTCTCCTTAAAGGAACTCATTAAGAGGCAATTTTGTCTAACTGATTGTTAATAGGAACTTCTGAGCTATATTGTTGCAAGTACAGGCTCATTGGCTCATCCCTAAGAACCTGAGAGAGTAGCTACCCTCAGGGAATCCAACCCACAGGTCTAGGGTGTATCCCAGGTGAGTACATATTTGATACTTATATCTTTGGGTGTTTCATATACTCTGTTATCTTCAGTTCATCCAGTTAAGAGATCAAAGGAACTGATGATACCAAAAAAAAGTTTTCACTTGCTGTGCCCATCCCTAAGCTTTATAATATTAGTTAGAAGTAACCAGCCTAGGCAGAGTGTATTTTAAAATTACAATTTAATATGTAGATTTATAATAGGAGATCAATATACTTGCTTTCCTAATGAAAACATAAACTTTATAATCTAGTCTATAAGAAAAACAAGATTGTTTAACTATCCCAATTAAGGATAGTTATCAAAATCATGCAAAAAGCTGTCATTTCTGTAGATGTGGGAGAATTATTCTAGCATAAGCACCATTCAGTAATGCAAATAGATTATCATCTAAAGAAAGTGTTATAAGTAGGTAAGGCAAAGCATTTATTGAATAGACTGTTTTAAACTGCTCATCTTGATGTTAAGTAATGCAGTGATTATTAGGTAGCTATGACTATTGTTTTCCAGGTCACATCTGATTTGAGGTCATTCCTTGTTAGTGTATAGTCAAAGTTTTCCAGTATATCCTGTACAAAGAATGAGTTTTAGTACCATACCTCTAGAGTTAAAGCAGAGATCTTTTTTTTTTTTTGAGTCAGGGAATTTGGACTAAAGATGATTTCTAAGATTTTTTTTAAAGGGGTGAAGTTTTAAAGGCTCAAGTGAGTGAATTGTGATATACTGAAAAATGGATTTCACAGCTACTTATAGTTTGCAAAGCAAGATGAATTGAAAGCCCTGTTAAAAACTGGAACAATTCTGATGGCACCTTAAGGTAAGTAGGTAGAGATTATTACCTCCATGTTTACAGATGTTGATATAGAGCCACAGATGAAGCAATTGAATGGTGAATGAGTCAGTGATCTGTCTAGTAAAATGTTCTGTAGATTGCTAAACAGTGACGTCTTTTATCTGCTGGGAGTAATGCATTGCAATGGATAATGCAGACATTGCATAAGTATTACAAATGCTCTGTCGTTACTCAGATTCTGAATATTATTTGAACTATTTCTGCCTCAGAGAACAATTGGAAAATGAATGAGTCAAAGATCTGTTGAGTTCCACGTTGAACCTTATCATTCCTTTGTCCTTGACTTAGTGTTAGTATGTGAAAATACTGATTTAGCTTGAATCTCTCTTATATGAAATGTCTGGAATTCAAATATTCCTCTAGACAGGGCAGAATCTCATTTCATTTTGTCAGATGTTCCATCTAAGCTGTTTCTGATTTGCTGTGTGATTACAGACATGTCCTGGTGAAGTGATTCCTGCCTCTATCATGCATACTAATTAAAAAGGTGCTATTCAAGATGCCTGGGGAAGCACACACACTGGTGAGCATGAGTACATGCACATACACAATCATTATCATCATCCCTGGTTACTACAATCAATTAATCAATAAACATTTTTAAGCACTTACTATGTGCCAGTCACCATGCTAAATCCTGGCAAAACAAAAAGAGACAAAGTATAGCCCTTTCCCTCAAGAAGCTTACAATAAAATGGCAGAGACAACATGCAAACAAATATGTACCAAGCTAGCTATATACATGATTAATCAGAAATAATTAATAGAGGGAAGGAACTAGAATTAAGAGGGGTTAAAGAAGGCTTCCAGTAAAAAAAAAAAAAATGGGATTTTAGTTGGAATTCAAAAGAAACCAGGGAGGTCAGTAGGTGAGGTTGAGGAGGGAGAGTGTCGCAGGCATGGGAGACAGGCAGAGAAAATGCCAAGATGATAGATGGAGTGTCTTATTTGTGGAACAGGCAAGAGGCCAGTTTCACTGGATTGAAAAGTGCATGTTGGGAAGTAAGGTGTAAGAAGACAGGAAAAGTAGGAGGGAGCTAGGTTATGAAGGGCTTTTTTGTATTTGATCCTGAAGAGGAGGGATCCACTGGAGTTTATTGACTAGTGGGGTGACATGATCACATCTGTGCTTTAGGAAAATCACTGTAGTGGCTGAAGTGGATGGGAGTGAGGAGAGGCGATCTGCCTGGAGTGAAGCAGGCAGATCCACCAGCAGGCTGTTACAGTATGAGGGCCTTGTGCTAGAGTAGTGGCACTATTAGAGGACAGAAAGGGGCATATTTGAGAGGTGTTGCAAAGGTGAAATCTACAGGACTTGGCAACAGATTGGACATAGGGGTGTGAAACATAGGTGTCCAAGATGACTCTTAGGTTGTGAGTCTAAAGGACTGGGAGGATGGTTATTGGCCTCTGCAGTAATAGGAAAGGTGGGAGGAGGTCCCCTCCCTAGCAGAGCACACAGTCAGTGAGAACATTAGTGTAAAAGAGCATGTATATAATAACATACATTGGCAAGGATCCTTTGGAGAAAAAAATATTGGGGGCAGCTAGGTGGCGCAGTAGATAGAGCACTGGCCCTGGATTCAGGAAGACCTGAATTCAAAATCAGCCTGAGACACATAACACTTACTAGCTGTGTGACCCCTGGGCAAGTCACTTAACTCCATTGCCTAACCCCCCCCAAAAAAAAGAAAAGAGAAAAAAATGTTGAACTCTAAATATTGAAAGGACACCTAAGAAATGTGTTGCAGCAGTCTTCTGCAAGTGAGAAACCAAAGCATTCTAGATGCAAATATCTCAGTTTTTCCCTGCTGCATATAAATCAATCCAGCTGGAAGTCTGAAGAAAAAAAATCCCCTGGGACCCTGAAACACATAGCAGACCTACAATTTTCTGAAAGGATCGTGACAATACGTAGGGCAACCCAAATAATTCTTAATTTACTTAATGATAGAACAGGCAGGATTAGGTTTAAAAAAAAGAAAAAGAAAAAAAATGTGATGAGCCCTGAACACGAGCAGGATGCCCCAGAAAGGAATTAAGGTTGATTGGAGTCAGTACTTTAGATACCTCTTGCTTCTTTGTAGCAGTGTGCCATTTCTTTGTGTAGAAGTAACCTATCCCATTGACTGAGAACAATACAAACCCCAAGGAGATACATCTAGATGGGTACCAGGCCAGCATGTCTCCAGTATGGTACTAGACGTGTACTCCATAAGTGCTTAAATTTAAAAAAAAAACGTGGCCAGACGAGAGCAGAGTACAACAGGAGTTTCATTTCCTCTGCTCAAGATGCTAATACTTCTATGAATGCAGCTTAAGAAATTATCTTTTTTTTCATTGCCCTGCTACACTTTTGACTCAAATTGAGCTTGTAGTCCCTAGGTCTTTTTCATGTAAATTGCTTATCAGCCACGTTTTCTCCAATTAGTGCAGCTGATTTTTTAAAAATATAATTGTAAAACATTACACTTGTCCTTATTACATTAGACCAGGTACTTTATTCTCATCTATCAATCTTTTATATTCCTAACTCTTTTAGCCAGTGTATTATCTGTAATAGATTTGGGCAGGGGAGTGGGGGGATACTTACCAATCTAGGTTCTTGAAGTTACAGTCAGATAAGAGCAATGAGTCAATTAATAATGAAGCAAGTAGCCATTTATCCTGGCCTATTCTGGTAGGTACCAAAAAGGACAGCATCTACACTGAGCCTGGCATAAGTGGTTATGTATGTGTGTGTGTACATATGTACACATATACATATGTGTACATATGTATATACACATATACATATGGATTTTTTGGGGCAGCTTTCATAAGCTAAACAGTATGCAAAGTAAAATGAAATAAAGAAAGCTATTCATACAACATAAGTGGTTATACAAAAAGGAATAGTATACTTGGAGAAAAATGTGTATTATTGGTTACAAGAGACAGATAAGGGAGGTAATCAACTGAGTATAGATAAACTCACTCAATTCAGAAATCTGCCCATTGAGCCAGAGAGGGAGGAGAACTTTCCTCAGTCTCTGAAATCTTCCACCTTTAGCAGCCAAATCTTCAAGAATAAGAATGAAGAACAAACCACAACTTTTTGTACTGATAAGTGGTAAAAAGGAGACACTGAGTTCCTGCAGCTGGTCTTATAGTTCTTCTAGGGGTCATTTACAGCAAGTTGGCTGATACAAAACAAGGTGGAGGCAGCATGCCTTGAAGTAGGGCTATTTCTAAGGAGAGGAGGGTCTATGCATTACAGAAGTATGTTAGGGATGTTCATGGTGCAATACTGGGGGTTTGGCAAGGCAAGGGGAGTGAGTAAGCTCACTAGAGGTTATCAACTTTAGGAAGCATGCTGAAGTCAGACTCTAGGATTCATCTGGGATGGTAATTTTGTTCACTTTTTCCAGATACCCATCTTTCAAGTGTCATGTCATTGACAAATGTGTTAAGCAGACTGTTTCCTCTTCAGAGCAACTGATAAAGTGCTGAACAGATCGTTTTTAGTGTCAGTGACAGGAGAGGCCAGAGAATACAAGGGACAAACTACTTTGCCTCAGCTCACTTGCTTTCTTACATTAGCTTACTGATTCCAGATAAGTAGTGGAGTAAGCTGAAGGAAAGTTGTCCTGATTTGCAAGTAGAGGAGGGGAGGTTGTGTCTGTCTTAGACACAGGGACACTGACCACCATGGAAGGGGAACTTGAGACTCCATGAGGCCTCCACTTGAGAAGCCAACCCCAGGGGAGATGAAGAAAGCCTTCTGACTGATTCCTAATCTTAATAATTAGGTATTAGATCAATTGTTGCTCTGAATTTGGCATCCAAGAAACTTAAGTAATACTTTGGGGACTGAAAAGAGCTTGAAATCACCTCTGTCAAAACAGCATTAGAACTGGAAAGGACTTTAGGAATCATCTAATCTAAGACCTATATTTTACAGAGGGAGAAACTCTGGCCTGAGAGAAAGGCAGTGACATGACTTGCCCAGTCAGAGAAGAAAGCTCCTTCAGCTCTTACTGAAACAGAGGTCAGACTGAGGTACAGTAGAATAGGATACAAATTTCAGAGATTCACAGATTTTTAGACCTAAGTAAATTCATGCTGCCCCAGATGCCGATCCAAAACTTCCCAGAAGATACTCATGCTCTAGACTTCTGCCAGGTCAAATGTTTTCTGTCCTATGTCCCATTCCTCTAATCTCTAATATGTGCTAAAATAATAATGGATCAACTTCTGTCTTTTCCATTCAACATCTACATACCTCAGCCATTTCTGATTAATCTATTCCTTGATTCCTGATTTCCCCACTCCACATTCCTCACCATCTCCCCCCCAACTGAATTTTCCCTTTTCAAAAAAAGTTAAGCAAAACAAACAAAATAACAACAGAGGAACCATTAAGAATTCTTTCTAAAAGTACACAAAAAGGTGAGGGTGAAAGTGGAATTCAGATAGAAGAGATGGTAGAGACCCTGACCTGAAAATTCCATGTGGCTTGAAACTCACAATACTGCGCATCTATAAGTGAATAAAAAAATTTTTTTTTTAAGACTGAAGTGCACAATAGGAAGGTGAATAAATGGAGAGAGCGGACATGGAAGATACCTACCAAAGTACCGGACCCAAGTAAATGGTAAGCAATGACAAGACAGCAATTTCTGTATTCTCTCAGGAAGAAGATAGACTACAGGAGAATGAGTGGCACCTGACAAAGGTAGGGACTGAAACAGGGTAGAGTGGAAGAAAGGAGGCAATCTTGATTGAGTGGTAAGGGGGGAGGTCTTACTAAAAAAAAAAAACACCTTAATGAGGGGGTGTGAGAGATTCTGTAATAGGAAATGAAGAGCTTTAATAGGTATAATCAGCAAAAATTTGGTGCTTCAAAAGATTTCTGAGAATGTTATACCTCCATGGACAGCATTCTTCCTCAGGAGAAGGGTAATCAGATTCCTGGGGGAAACTGACAACAGCAAAGTTGGAAGGTATAATGAGAAAAGAAACTTACTGTCAAAGGGGGAAAAATTATCGTGATGAGAGTAAAGGTTAGGAATGAACCACATACTTAGGGACACAGGAAAATTTTTACTTTTGTATAATACTTCTGTCTCTGTCTCCTGCAGGAAATATTTCTAAGATTGAGGCACAACAGGAAAAAAAAGGAGAAGGAACAAGATTTACAAGGCAAAAACACAGAATTTGTTTAGAAGACAGAACTCAAAATAGGTACCTTAGGTATTAGGTGGGCAGGCATCTGAGGCCAGGACACTCCAAGTGGTGGATCCTGCTCTGGCTCAGGTGGCTAAGGTCTACTTTTTCATTGTATTTATTTTTTAGGAGTCTATTTGGGTCTTTTGTTTTTTGGTCCGTATTTCTTTCACAACATGACTAATATGGAAATTTTTTTTAAAAAAGAAAAAGTCCTTTAGAATTGTTGATTAAGAGAGCATTGATGACTTGGGAGAGAGGAGTTTTAGTTGAGTAATGAAGACATACTGCAGAGTTTGGAAGAATGGGAGAGAAAAGAAAGTGGAGCCACTAGAGGGCCTTCTCAAGGAGTTTTACCGTGAAAGGGAGGAGAGATATGGCATGATGACCAGTGGGGATGGAGGGTTTTGGGTGTATGGAGGGAGATAAGAGTATGTTTGTAGGTAGTATATACAAAACAGAAAAGAACACAAATAAAATGATTCTATATGAAACTGAATCTCCATTTCACACTGCCTGCTTTTTTTAAAATATATAGTAAAGTCTGCATGTTAATATTGAAATTTCCTGTTTGTCTTCTCCTTCCTTCTGTTCTCTTCTGCGCATTTAAAAATATATCATAGGGGCAGCTAGGTGGCATAACACTTACTAGCTGTGTGACCCTGGCCAAGTCACTTAACTCCAACTGCATCACCAAAAAATAAAATCATATACATACATACATACATATATATATATACATATATATATATATATAATGACAGTTTTGTAGGTACTGCTGTTAATATTTTAGAATAAAATTTCACTGATATCTTTTTACAGTCAACTAAATTTCCTCAAGAATCCATTCCCATTTTCTCTCTTCCCAGAGAAAGTCCATATGACAAAGAATAATTTTAAGAGAGAAAAAAAGAGGAAGGGGAGAAAAAAAGAGGAAGGGGAGAAAAAATTAGAAAAGCCAATCAATTTTAAAAATATATGAAAATGTGAAGTGTTCCACATCAGTGAATGTCTCACCTCTGCAAAGAAGTTGGAGATGTTTTCTTATCTCTCTTCTTTGGAGCTGTGCTTTAAAAAAATTTTTTTTTGGCCACATTCACTTTCAGTTGTTTTGTGGTGGTTGTTCTTTCCATTGATATTATTGTAGTCATTAAGCATATTGTTTTCTTGACTCTGCTTGCTTCCTCTGTAGCAATCTCTTTCCATGATGCTCTGGATTCATCATATTCTTTATTTCTTATAACACAGTAATATCCCATGAACCACAATCATATTCATGTACCACAATTCACGTTCCACAGTCAGTGGGCATCTCCTTTCTACTTCTTTGCTACTACAAGAAGTGTTGTTGTAAATATTTTGGAAAATACAGAGACTTTCTTTTATGTATATGTATAGTAATGGCATCACTAGATCAAAGAGTCATTTTGGGGGGATAATTCTAAATTATTTTCCAAAATTATTGTATTAAATCATAGCTTCAATCAATCGATCAATATTTATTAAGCACCTACCATGCCAGGCATTATGCTCAGTACTAAGGATACAAAAAAAGATAGTCCCTGCTCTCATAGAGCTCACTATGTAATGGGAGAGACAACATAAAAACAAACATATATGAAGGAAGCTATGTACAGAATAAATAGGAAATAATTAACAAAGGGAAGGCACTCTATTAAGAAGAGTAGTAAAGGCTTACTGTAAAAGAGAGGATTTTAGTTGGAACTGGCCAGGGAGGCCAGTAGGTGGAGTTGAGGAGGGAGAGCAAGCCAGGTCTAGGGAACAGCCAGAAAAAAAATGCTTGGAGCCAAGAGATCAACAGTCTTGTTTCTGGAATAGCCAGGAGGCTAGTGTCACTGGATCATAGTATGTGTCAGGGAGTAAGGTTGTGTATGTGTGTGTGTGTGTGTGTGTGTGTGTGTGTGTGTGTGTGTGAGGGTGGGGAGGTGACATGGTAGGAGTTACACTTTAAGAAAATTATTTTATTTGCAAAAAACTTTCTGGGATGCATCTGCCTTTTATTTACTTTACCATTTAGGTAATGTCAATTTAAAAATAGTTTTCTATTCCAATTTATATTAAAGCACTTACAAATAAAACTTGAAATTTCTTAAAACTGGTATCATTGTCCCATTAGTCTTGTCCTAATCCCTATCATGCATTAATCACAAATATAATGTTAAAAATATCCCAATAAGGCTCTCCTCTCGCTAAGCTGTTGACACTGGGCTCAGCGATTACAGGTGGTGACCATGGGTAGCAGGGTTCCTGCTGATGTGGCAGTGATTCAGGGTTGGTTGTCTGTGCTGACTTGCCCTTTGAAACTGTATGCATGTTTGCTCTAAGGAAGAAACACTTTACGGTTTCTGACTTAACCTACGCAGAAGCCACCAGGTAGGTGGTGTTCTCTCAGCTGGCTGCTCTCTAGAGCCACATTTGAAATTTCTATAGTGTGTGACCTGTAGACACTTTAACAACACATTTTCATTTCTAGGTTACTAGGAATTCAATTACTTTAAAAAAAAAAAAGATAGGTAATGACATGATTTGCTTTGGTTTTTTTAACCACAAGCTACAACAGGAAATGATCAGTGGCAAAGGTCAAGACAGAAGATAAAAAACACTCATACCAAGATTCCTCAGCAGACATGGGCTTTGGCAGATTGTAGACTCATCTCACCTTTTTAAAGGGGTTGTGTTAACATGAAGTATGATACTGAGGCCCAGCAATTGCTGGAGTGGCCTTGGCAGTCATCATTGTGGCATGTGAGAAAAGGATCCAGGGTGTTAAATTATAAAGGGACAGCCCTTTAACTCAGGTAAACTGAGTGATGCCTGAAGGAGGAGGGACCATGTACAAGAAGCAAGAACCACGAGTAATAACTCAAATAAATTAGGCCATAAAGCTTGGATTTAAATTGTGGAAAATTGATTTTCTAGTTGTATAAATTACCACTGTGGGAGATACCAATGTGGTTAAATCTTTCAAAAAATATATATGTTAGTGCACATAACACACATATCCTAATGAGAGAATATATTTAGGAACTGTCAAATGTCAAACAATTTTATGTTGTCTGAATTTTTAAAATTACTAATATTTTCCAAGATTATTTAAAAAATACTCTTGCTTAATGAAACCAGCCAAATTTGTGGAAAAGTACATATGTGTTCTCATGGGATACAAGTATCCCATAAGCCTTTTAGTATCAAAAATAGTGTCCTCCTAAATTTAGTATCTCAATCGTGTCCTAGTAAAACTTAGCATCTAATTAGTATCTAAATGTAGTATGTAAATAGTGTTCTAGTTAAAATTTAAAAAAAAAAAAAGGATGCCTTAGTATCCCATCAGGTTCCAGGCCATATGCAACCAAGCCCCAAGTACAACAATTTAGGAAACATCTCTTAAGGAGTCATTGTGAAGCCTCATTTCCTCTTTCTCACTCTCAATATTTATGAAATCCTACTTTGCCATAGCTAAATAAACAACTAGAAAAAACAATTTTAATTGTACTTTAGTTGTATGGATGTTTTTTGTTTGTTTGTTTTTTGAGGCTTAGGCTTCTGATTTCATGGATTTCATTGTTCTCACTGTGGAAACTCCACCAACGCTGATGTGCAACCCATCTTTACCTTGAGATCTTAGAAGGTTGCCTGGGGACACAATAAGAGGTCAGGTAATTTGCCCAAAGTCACATGGCCAGTATATGTCTCAGAGAAGACATCCCAACTTCAGAGCCAGCCTCTAATCCACTCCTCCATACTGCCTCTTCTGTTTGAGATATTAATACAATATTCACCAACCTTTTTTCTAAAATACATGATTCTCAGCAGAATTTCATTTGTGGACAGCACAAATTAGTGAAATTTCACACACATTTTAAAAGTTATCTAGATTTGCTACTTATTTGAGGACAATTATTTGATTTTCTAGTGGGCAACTAGGTGGCACAATAGATAGAGTACTGGACCTGGAGTCAGGAAGACTTGAGTTCAAATAATACCTCAGACATTTACTAGCTGTGTGACCCTAAGCAAATCATTTAACCCTGTTTGCCTCAGTTCCTCATCTATAAAATGAGCTGGAGAAAGAAATGGCAAACCACTCTAGAATCTTTGCCAAGACAACCCCAAATAGGGTCATGGAGAGTCAGACATGACTAACAAAACAAGAAGTTGATTTTCATCTGGTTTCTCCCTGTTCTGTAATCCCATATAACTCCAGCATCAAGAAAAAATACATCAAGAAAAGGAGAAAATGCAAACAGAAAACAAGACACACTAGCCTGGGAAAGATGTCCAGCAGCTTATGTGCAGGCTCCACATTGATGTTCATCAGAGTAAACTCATTATTGAGATTAGAAAACAACTTTTCACCCACTTAGCAGGAACCTTCAAATCGGGGATATGCCTCTGAACAGAAAAAGACAATTATTTTAATTGAAGTTCTTCTTCAAATACGTTTTCAAATTTTGAAAAAGAAGTTGTACAGGCACACTGGGGCTATCACTAGCCTATTTTTTAAAAGAAGAAGATGCATGCTAAAAGTGGATACAACTATTGACATAAAAGATATTTCATTTAGAATTAAGCAGACTTGTATTGAGACCAAAAGAATGGATTTTTCATGTACTTGGAAGGAGAATAAGAAAAATGACAATGTACAGCTAACTGAAGTATATTTAAAGCTTCTGAGACCAGGCTGAAGGGTTAATCTTATACACACAGAAAGCAGGCTCAGGAATTTGTAAAAGCAAAGCTGACTATCAACAGAGTGAGAGGTGAGAGGTGAGAGAAGGTCTTTTACCTTCAGAAGAACATTGAGACAATACCAAATATTGGCAATGCTGTCCTCAAATAATATGCAATCAACTGGGAAGTCTTCTTACTATTTGCAAGGTTTCTTCCACTTCTGTGAAGAATTGCAGCCAGCAAAGGAAATAACCACTGTAAAAAT